GGAGCCCCGTGGGCAAGCACTAGTCTATCTCTTGGAGCTTCAGACTCCTCATCTGTTCAAGGTGAGATTAATACAAAGGCCACACAGGCATCCATCCGTAAGTGCTACCTACTGCCATCATATCGCTCTTGTGCCTCAGTCTTCAGCTGCACCACAGAAACATACTGTTCTATCACCTTCACACTCATGTGACCACTGTTCTGAGTCGGAATTCCTTCCCTAGGTTTTGGTCAGCCTTGGCAAGCACTGGCATTTTCTTAGCTGTCCACAAACAAGGGGTACCAGGTCTATACTAAATAAATGAACATACAGCAAAAGGAAGCTTATTATTTAATCTTCTTTTTAAAATAAATCTTTATTTTAAAATGAATTTTACTCATTTAATGTGTGAGTTTTGCCTGCATATTTGTCTGTTGCCCATGTGCATGCTTGGTGCCCACCGAGGTCAGAAGAGGGCATCAGATCCTCCTGGAACTGGACTTATGGATGGTGATGGATCACCACGTGGATGTTAGTAATCAGCTTGGTCCTCTGTAAGAGCAACAAGTTCTTTTAACTGCTGAACCATCTTATTATTCTTAAAAGCTCTTATTATATTATTATATGATTAATAATAATATTATTATAATAACCATCTTATTATTCTTAAAGCTCATCAGCTGTAAAATAGTAACGGGCACACCATACATCTGGATGGCACATATACTCTGGAGGTTTGAACCGTGCCAGGAGAAGGTCTGTCAATCACAATGTTGATGACCTCTCATGGGCTTATGGATGACTTCAACAATCCTGAAGAGAAGGTTCCAGTTACACTCCAGTGTCCACTTTACAACTCCCCCAAAGTCAAAGAAGAGCTAGAATATTCCTAACAAAATCAGTGTGTTGAAGGCTCTTCCTTGAAAAACATTTTTAGCTGTCTCTCATGTTTTGATCCCATTTCTTCTATCATAATAAGCAAATGATAGGAACAGAAAAAAACAAACAAACCAACCAACTAAACAAATACAAAAGCCCAATCCCTACTGGAATCATGTTGGGTGTTAGAAGCAGTTATCTTCTTTACCTGCACTAAGATTTACTTAGAACAGAAAGGAACACATAGAAGCCTGTTTATTTAACTAGCTTTGCAAAGATCTTTTGTAGCTACGGTTCAGTTTGTTATTAATTACTGTTTTGACTCTGAACCTGGAATGTTCTCAACAGCTATGACATGAGAGCACTCCACTGGTTGGCCAACAGTGTGTGTGTGTGTGTGTGTGTGTGTGTGTGTGTGTGTGTGTGTGTAATATGCAGAAAGTACAAAGGGCGTGGCCCCTCGGGAATGTCAGCCACAGTGGGCCTACTATGTGCCAGACGCTTTCTGAGAGGGACTCTTCTGGAAAGCCTGCTGCCTTAGAGGAGGAGCCAGAGTTAACAGATACTCTGGTGCAGTAGAAAACAGACGCCAAGGTAACTTATAACACCGATCTCTGTTTTGTGGAAATTGGAAAGTTTTCCTGCTGTGAGGGTGCGCAGCACAGCAGTCCCTGCTTGCCAGCCTAGGCTGTTCAGGTCAGATCTCCTCTGGACAGAGCAACACCAAGTGATCAATAACCCAAGTTTAATCCAAGAAGTCATAGCAGAAGGAAAGTCAGGACTTGATGAACAGGTAAACAAATGTGGACAGTTCCAATATGGAAAATAATTTTAATAGTGTTTCATAACAGAAGGAGGGAAAAAAGAACAGAAATATTCAGCCAATGGATTTATTTTCAGAATATAAAACATCAAGCAGGAACATAAAATCTGAGATGTGTCAGCCATGATGCCTGATGACTGAAGGCAGAAGCAGACGACTCTTAATTGTCAGGCACTTGAAAAATGCTGTCTTCCGGTGAGAGAATGCCTGTTTCTACATAACTCTGCTTGCTCAGAAGTCTTTAAGAGCAAAACAAGACTACGCTTGGAATATGCAATCTTACCATCCTTCTCCCTACTAAAAAGTCCAAACAAAAAGACCTTAAAGATTTGTATTCCAGAAATGAGAGTTAACTACTTCTTATTATGTATTTGAGACAGGGTCTCACATGGCCCAGGCTAGCCTCAAATTTGCTGCATAGCTGAGGAACTCCCGATCTTCTTGCCTCTACCTCCAGAGTGATGGAATTACAAGTGCGTGCTATTAAGCCTGGTTTATGCATTGCTGGGGACTGGGCTGTGCGCACACTAAGCAAGTACTATACCAACTAAGCTAGATAGATCCCCACAAGCCTTTTTTTTTTTTTTTTTCCAGATAGGGTCTCATGTAGGCCAGGCTAGTTTCCAACTTTCTGTGTAGCAGCCAAGAGCCAAGGATGTCAAAGCCCTGATCCTCCTGCCTCTGCCTCCTGTGGGCTGGTGGGATTATAGGGGGCGCCACCATACCCTGCTCATTTGGTTCCTCTCAAGGGTAAAGCTCAACTGTGTGAAAAACAATGAGATCAAAGCAATGAATTGCACTATTAGGGTAAGAATTTGTACCCTTCTCAAGCTGATGAAAGAATATGCTGGCTGTATTTTCAGGAGGGGAGGCTAAAATCTTTCTAGATTATGGATTAGCCTATAGAAAAATGTCTGCTGTAAATCAAACAGTGAAGGGGAAGATGAATAGGAATCTCACACAACTTAAGTAAAACATAGCTCTCTGAACAGAGGAAGATAGGTCTCTTCTGTATCCCGGAATCTAATCAATATGTATATGTATAGTTCAGCTATTATTTGGCTTAAAAGGGCTTATTGGGAGATGTTATCATTTTTTACTATTTTCTACAGAGAAAATATTTTCCAGTTTCAAATAACTCTGGACTTTGGAATTATAACCTGTTTTTATGTTAAAAAAAATTTAAGTGAAAAAAAAAAAACTCCAAACAAAACAAAACAAAAAAACAAAAAAGAAAAACAAAAAACCCAAAGCAATGAATTAATAGTCTGAGGGTTAGAACTTTTATTAAATACTCATACATTTGTGCAAAATACTCATCTTTGAAGGCTTTACACAGTAATAGATCCTGGTAAAACGTGACAACCCAAGTCTTCACAAGGTCAATATCCTCACTCATAAAGTGGGAACAGTAATAACCCCTGTCCAAGGTTAAGACAGAACTACTTACTGGTCAAAGTGCCTGATCAGGACACAAAACACTCTACCCCAAGTCAGTAACTCACTCATGTTATAGTCTACTCTCAGGGAAAACAGGCCAAGCTCACAGTGCAGATCACTCCACTCAGCTGGGATACGCTGACAACTTCCCTCCTGGTCCATGCCACTACCAAGTGCTGCTTAAGTCTGAGGAGAAAGGAGGACTAGCCTTCTTGACCCCCAGGGCAGGGAAAGAGTTACAGCCTCACCCTGAGAAGCCAATAGAACCTCTCTTGATTATAATTTAGATAAGAACCACTAGATTGAATAATAATGTCTGAAACTCCCCTGGCTGTTTCACCTTGAGACGTCCATCACTGGGTTAAACATGATGCTAATTGCATTTGGATTGATTAATTTCTCTCACTCCTGTCTATTCGAATAACGCTTAACAAAATAATCATAGCACCCGGAGCCAAATCTTTTCCGTCAAAGGAATGAAGCCATCAGAACAGGCATCGATGAAAGAAATGAAGATGACCCGTAATTACAGCTACGGTGATATCATTACCATATTATACAAAATGAGCGCGGGGGGCGGGGGGGGGGGGGCAGGGATTATTTATTTATTTTCACGGAAGCCTACAACCTAAGAATACAGATTTGATAGCGAATGCAAAGCACAGAAATATGTAACTGTAAAATAAAAATCTTGCTCACAAAATCACAAAATCCAGCAAGCCCCAAGGCCCCAGATACATCAAGTGTGTGGGACTGTGAGCAGGGATCATCCACACCACTGCTTTTCTCCACAGTCATGTACATGACCTGCAGAGAGGTAAGATGCTGTCTTCCTTCACACCACAAGGATTCCCAGAGCTACTGGGGAATTCTTCTTTACACAGAAAATATAATTTTATTTTAATGTTGTTAGACGTGGCCTTGTGGGCAGGAGAGATGGCTCAGAGGTTAAGAGCACTGGCTGTTCTTCCAAAGGACTCGGGTTTAATTCCCAGTAGCCACATGGCAGCTTACAACTGTCTATAAGTAAGGTTCCAGGGGATCGGACACCCTCACACAGACCTACATGTAGGCAAAACATCAATGTACACAAAATAAAAACATTATAAACAAGTGGCCTTGTTTATACATGTATTACCTGAATTTTAACTGAAACTGGTTCTAGTTTAAGATGTCAAAGCAAATAGATATCTAAGAACCTTACATATGGTTCACTGGACAGTATTACGGAGTTTATTTAAAACACTAGTAGGAAGAATATAATACTATTTCCCTATACACTTTTCTATTGCCCAGTAGGAGCTTTGAACACTTACGAAAAGAAAACCTTTGATTGCACAGGAGTTAAAACCTGGTTCTACCAGGGTTATGTGTTGGCTCACCCCAACATCTACCTTATTGGTGATCTGCTGGAGCATGTGAAGGGACCGGTCCTGCAGACCCAAAGCTGCAGGATTTCCACAACACAGGGCAACAGCAGGATATCCAAGAGGAGTTCCAGTGAGGGCCCAGCATCGATAGTGTAGCAGAAACCAGAGGCCTCGACGCAGACCAGTGACTCTGCAGTGAACACTAGCAGTAAAGATGTATGGATACAAGGGTTTACTGTGTGACTCACTGGGTCACACTACAGCTCCCGTGACGAGGCTGATTTCTCCTTCTTTTTTCTCTCTTCTTCTTTTCTCTTAAATTTTATTTTATTTTATTTTGGGAGGGGTGGTTGCAAGGGCAGAGGGCAGATATGAAGGGATGGAGAAATGAATGGGATGAAGATGCATTGCATGATGTGAAAGACACAAAGTTCGAAATAAAAAGGAAAGTTAAAAAACAAACAAAAAACAAAGAAACAAAAAAACCTGATTCTAAATCTAGAACTTACTAGATGGTGTTTGCAGATAAATCATGTAGCTTCTCTTTGTCTCAGCTCTTTCATCTGTAAACTACAGACAGACAGACAGACAGACACACGTTCAATAAGTACTGGTGCAAGAAAATAGACCAGTAACAAAACACACACATTAGAGCAATGTTGCTCCCCTAAGGCTAACTTTATAGTATCTACAGAGCCCTGTACAATGTTCTGGTCACTCCATTTACTTAAACTAATCAAACAGACATTTGTAAAGTACCTTGTACACAGAATTAAAAAATATTTATGAATTAGGTAAGTAAGATACTTGGTATATAATTTTAAAAAGATAGAGAATATTTGTGTTAGGGAATTTTAAAGGCAGAGCTCTCCATAAAAAAATGAAAATGGATACTGAAATTGCCTTATTTAGCTTGAACAATAGGTATATTTCTCTATTTTTTCTTATGTATATGCATGTTTTTCCTGCTTGTGTGCATGTCCATCATGTATGCCTGGAGCCCTCAGAGCTTAGATGATGTTGGATCCCTTGGAATTGGAGTGACAGGTGGTTGTGAGGTACCATGTGGTTGCTAGGAACTAAACCCAGGTCCTCTGCACGATCAGGAAGTGCTTTTCCTATCTGAGGCATCTCCACAGTCCCTCTATATGGAAGTGTTCCTATGTAAGTGTTAGGAACAAACTAAGCACATACATTTGGATTGATAATCAGTAACGACTATGAACAGTACTTTAATAAAAAATCCAAACAGATACTTCCGCCAGTTAATGGAGTAAAAATCTGTTTTGTTTTATAACTCAAAAGGAAAGGGAAGCTATCAAAAATTACTGTGGTTAGGAAATTATTTTTACTCTATTAATTCAATATTATCTGGTCTCTTTCCTGGTTTAGACAGACAATGAAATATAGTGAAAACGGTTTATTTCTTCTAGCTTTGGAGTTAGATAGCTACAGAGTTAGATTTATTATAGAAATAGGTTTATCTTTATTGTTGCTGTTTTGAGACAGGCTCTTACATTGTAGCCAAAATGGCCTTGATCTCATTACAATCATCCTGTCTTAGCCTCCTGATCTCAAAACTTAAAGGCTACAAGCACTCAGCTATGGCGGCTTACAACAGTAATTCTAGCACTCAACAGGTGAAGGCAAGAAAACCATGAGTTCAAGGCCATCTACATAGTGAGTTCCAGGCCAGTTTGGGCTATATAAAACCCCATCTCAACCAAATGACCACAACCACAAGCAAATAAGATATTCCTGAGCATCAGTTTTCTTGTCTGTAAACTGGAAACTACGGTTTTGTAAGCGCAAACAAGAGGTTTTTAAAAAGAAGGAAGCTGGATGTATGGCAATCCCAGTTTGTAATTTCAATACCCAGGAGGTTAAAGCTAGAGATTGTCACGAGTTTGAGGCAAGCCTGGGATACATAGTGAGTACTAGGTTATTGAGGTATATATGGCAAGATCCTGTCTCAAAAAAACAAAAGAAAAAAAATACTGTTTGGCAAGTCAATAAATGGAAGGTAGCAGTCATCATTTTTATCTTCTATGTCTTAGTTCAAATGCCCTCAACCAGAGTGGTTTCCTTGACAGGCCTAACTAAAGCAAGACCTTTTCAATGTACTCATTTCCATCTCAACCTACTTACTTCTGTCACAGCACTACAAAATCTGAAATTAACGTTATCTTTCTTGTTTCGTCAAGTTCTGTAGAACCTCTTGCAGCAACTAATAAAATACCAGATAGGCATGGTATCCCACACCTCTAATCACAGCACTCAGAAACAAAGGCAGGAGGATCTCTGTGAGTTCAAGGCACCAGCCTGTCTACATACTTCTAAGACGGCTAGCGCTATATAGACAGACCCTGTCTCAAAATAACAAAACAAAAGAGTATAATATCGGACCGACAGTAGCTGGTCAACATTTATTTACTTGTGAGGAAAGAATTGTATATCCTTCTCAATTATCATTATTATTCTTACTATTATCATTATTAATTATTTAATGTGAATGACTGTTTTGCCTGCATGGAATGTCTCTGCACCACCTGGTGCCCACAGAGGTCAGAAGGGGGCACTGGATCTTCTGGCACTGGAGTTACAGACAGATATGAGCTGCCAAGTGGGTGCTAGGAATCTGGTCCTCTCGAGGAGTAGCCAGTGTTCTTAATCTCTGAGCCATCTTTCCAACCCTCCTTTTCAATAATTTTTGTTTTCTTTGAGACAGTGTCATGTACCTCAGAGGCCTGAAGTCATCATGTAACTGAAGAGGACCTTGAACTCCTGATTTTCCTCATTCTACCTTTAAGTACTGGAATTGCAGGGGTGCACCACCTGACTTCAGCTTAAATTTATAATTAAACACTGTGCACATAAAAAAATCTGCACTTCTAAAATTACTTACACAATTTGCCCTTGAGCCAGGATTCCACTATAGAGTATTAGTATGTCTATTCACTTCAGTAATTTGATAATAAGGAAGGTAAGAAACAACCCAAGCACCCATCAACAGGAAATGGACTGGCTGAGTAAACTATAACACACCATATCGTGGAACATACCGTTCAACTGTACAACAGAATGAGGAAAATATCCTCTTACCATTAGGAAGAGAACTCTAGAACACACTGTTAAATAATAACAGCAAAGTACAGCATGTATATGATATGTTACCTTCATATGTCACCATACCTGTCCTTGTTACAAGGAAATTTAGGAAGATGGTATTTAAGAAAATATGTATTAGTTATACTGTCAAAACAAAACATTGCAAGGACAAAGTTTGGTATCAGCTTTGCTGATAAAGACAGCTAGCTACTGGGGAGGGATTAGAGAGAGGGAAAAGGTAGACAAATACACCTTTTCTCTAATTTTTACTCTGAGATACGTAAATATTTACTATGTTAAAAACAAAATCCATTAACTAGAAAGAAACAATCTTTAAAGTATGGCATAACTACATAGTAACCACATAGTACAAAGTAAAATTTAAAAGGTGAACTAAAGTTATATGTGCAGTCACACATATCCTCAGAAGCACAGGTCCTAGAGTGCAAGGCAACGCACACCACACGCAGCCGTCTTTGTGTTATAGATAAGTAGTGCGTTCAGAGCTACTTTCACTGCAAGTGAAAGCAAATGATTATGTTAATTACTAGGAACCAAGACTTTCCCACAAAAGAGAGAATTATAAAATAAAATAAGATGCACTAAGTAAAACTTCAATTTGACTGCACATGTTACTAATAGGAACATTTAATTTTCTCCTCTTCTTTTCAAAAGAGATGGCTCAGTGGGTAAAGAAGGAACTGGGGAGGGGAATGGAGAGATGGCTCAGAGGTTAAGAGCACTGGCTGTTCTTCCAGCGGTTCTGAGTTCAATTCCCAGCAACCACATGGCAGCTCACAACCATCTGTAATGAGATCTGATGCCCTCTTCTGGCAAGCAGGCAGACAGAATACTAACTGTATGCATAATAAATAAATAAATCTTAAAAAAGAAAAAAAGGAACTTGGCTCCATGCCTAATGACATGTTCAAACCTCAGGTAGAACCCACATGGTACAAGGAAAGAACTGATTCTCACAAGTTATTCTCTGACCTTCACATGTCCACTGTGGCATGCATATGCATACACACACATAAATAAATAATGTAATGAAAATGTAAAGGTTAGATGGTGGCATACATCAGTAATTCTAGCAACTTGGGAACTAAGGCAGTAGGAGCAGCAGCTTTGGAGCTGGACAGAGAGCTCAGCAGGTCACAGTGCTTGTTGTGGACGCAAGTTCAAATCCTTAGCACCTATATAAAAAGTTGGGCATGGCTGGATGTACTATTATTTCTAGTACTGTGGTGTGGTTGGCATCAGAGGATTTGAGGAATTTGCTGGTAACCAGGCTTGTTCCAGGTCCAGCGAGAGATCCTGTCGCACAAGAATAAGGCAAAGTGATAGAGCAGGACATCTGATGTCTGCATGCATGCATGAATGCACACACATCTGCACAGATCACATGCATACACCACTCACACACAAAAGAATCCCAGGCTGCTTAAGTTACACAATAAGAACTTGTCTCAAAACAAAACAACAAAAACCCAAACTAGATCACACCAAACTACATCCAAACTCCAAACAGTCTCCAAAACTTCATGAAGAAGGCCCAGAAAGAACAACTGAGCAGTACCAAAGAATATGATTAGTGTTTCCGTGTCTACTGAAAGGAAGCAAGATTCCTTGGAAAAATGGAAGAGATTTCAAGATTGGAGAAGTAAATGACATAGCTGAAAGCAAGGAAGCTATCCAGTACTACTACAGACATGTCAAAGACTTGGGGGCCAACACAAAGAGGCATCCACTAAAGGCATGATAGTTTTAGAGTAAAAAAAACAGCAATGGTCACAACACACCAAAACATATTGAGGTCCAGCCAAAATGGCTCAGCAATAACGTCTCAGTGTGTCACCAAACTGGACCACCTGAGTTTAATCCCTGCAGCCCACATAATAGTAGGGGAGAAAAACTCCTACAAGTGTCTCTGAGCTCCACACACATGCGTCCCCTCCAATGAACAAATAAATGTAATAACAAATAAAAAATATCGAATATAAACATCTATGATGCTAAAAATAATCCATCTGTCATTTTGACTCATTATTTTGACAACTGACAAAAAGATGAAACAAACAAACAAAAAAACCCCCTATTCTCTCTGCAGTCTTTTTGGACTGAATTTCAGGGAATCAAAATAAATGTTTATTTAGTAGAATAAAAAGAATAACAGTTGATTTTTGAAAAAGATAAGGTTGATAACACACGAACACATTAATCTTCTCTCAAACATGTGCTTAAGATAGGGGTGTGTGTGTGTGTGTGTGTAGTTATAGGGAAGATTAAAATAGATTAGACTCATGTCAACAAAACATACTATTTGGATACTAATTCAAACAAAGCAATTGTGAAAAACAACAACGACAACACAATTTTGAGCTGGATAGGGACTACAGAAGACATTGCTAAGGAGCTCTATCATTTTGTTCAATATAATAACTATGTCATTTAAAATGTTA